ATAAACTTTAGTGTAATTTAGGAAAATCTAGTGATAATTTAAAATTTTGCTAATATTGTATAGGATTATCCGATGAGAACCCAAATGTTTACCTGAGCCTACACATGTTATAGTGTATTTGCGGCTTCGTATTTCCTAGTGAAAAGTCATGAGATATGAAAGGTAATATGGTGTTTATATGGCATAATACATTTTACAGCCTAAACCTGAAATCTATCCAGGAGAGCTTATGTAGTCATTGCACTTAGACTAATACATTAACCAATAAAGGTTGAAGGTAAGCTCCTTGCCTAAGCATGTAGGATATGAGTGAAAAAAGTGAGATATATATAAAAAAAAGAGAGAGAAATTACCAAAAACTTAAAAGAATTTTGGAGCAATTAACTATGAAATCCAAAGATCAAAATTCTAAAGAAATCAAAAAGTTGAAAATACCAAAAATCAAACAAAAAGGTGGTGAATTCAAAGAAATCAAAGCAAATATCAAAGAAGAGATGAATTCGAAGAGCTCCATTGTGATATCAAAGTGTAATTCTTTTTAGAGTTTATGTATCTTTGGTAATTTAACCAAAAATACCTTGAGGTTAAGAAAGATTTCTGAGGATTGATTCGGAGGGTTGCAAAAATGAATGTCGTATAAGCTAAGGGGTGAAGGTTCATAAAGATTGCGAGTATTTAGGAGTGGGAAGTTCTTAGTAATTTTAGACACAAATACATGCATTGCGGTCTTTGGATAATGGTTGTGTTTGAAATGGATTATTCTATGTGATATTGCTGAGATAATAAAATCATCCACGCGTTCATATTTTAGTCTACTAAAACTTTTGTTTAGATTACTACTGTTAAAAAGTAATATATTTTTACTTACGATCTTTATATCCATACGTTTTTTTATAAATGCATGTATGGATGTTTTTTTTTATAAAATCGTAAGTAAAAATAGTACTACATTTTAACGGGAGTAATCTTAATGAAAGTTGTAGTAGAATCAAAAAATGAACTCGTGGATATAAAGACCGTTAAAATCTAATGTCCTATGAAGAAGTTACGACGTTCAGAACACAAGAGCTAAGCCAAACCACTAGGTCTGGCAGTCGGGGTTGGTGGGTCACGGGTTGGCGGGTTGTTGGGTCAGAAAACATAAACTCAACTCAACCCATATAATATTTGGGTTGACGGGTTGGAAACCTTAACCCAACCCAACCATATAACCTGTTTAAGTATATGGGTTCGTGGGTTCACAGGTTAGTGGGTCAAATCCAACCCGCATAACTCGTTTAATAAATAAGCAACACATTTTCAAAAAACAAGGTTTTTCAATATAAAGTCATAAAGTTATTAAAGTCATTAACGAGTCAACGACAGGTGGGATAGTAGGCAACCGACGAATCGACAATGAGCGGGTGATAGGATGAGGACGTGAGGACCGACTGTCGAGCAGTGGTGATCTGGTTGATGCGTTATTCATTCGTGACTCGTGAGTATATGTGTTTTCTTTTTTATTAGGGCACTACAAAAAAACTAGCCACACAATTATACGAATACGGAAGGCGAAGGAATACAATGATACGAAATATTAAAGAAGGAAATAAGATTTCATTAATAAATAAATATATCAAAAAGCTCAACCCAAACCCATTTATTTTCGGATTGGGTCAATGTCGGGTTACGGGTTGGGTCGAGAGTTGCCACCCCTACAAACCACAAGACCTACGCAACCAAGCATCGGAGATCGCGAAGAACATAAGCATCAACAACTCAAAACACCTTATCAATGATTGACCCACGTAATATGTCGTGAGAAAAACCTAAAGAAATTATTCATAAGTATTGAATGAGTAAAAAAACAAAAAAATGACTTATTTTGAAATAAAAAAATAATAAGGACTAAATGTGTAAAAAAATATTAAGGACTAAATGTATACAAAATGAGAAATATATTACCCTATTAAAATATTTTCCCGGTTAACCTGATATAACCGGTCATAAGGACTGAATATGTACAGTTTAACAAGTTTAAGAGGTAAAATGTGGACGAAAAAAACTTAGTGACCAAATATGTATAAATCGAAAAATATGTTACCCTTTTAAGTCATTATCCCTTGTAAAAATGGATTTTCTTGATATCGATATTCAATATCGACCCTTCAAGTATTTTATTAGTTTTTTTACATCATTTATATTAAAAATTCTATTTTTGATTAATGTTATATATCACATATGAACTTATTTATTAAAAATATATAATTGAAATTTATGTATTACTTTTAGCAAATTATACAATTCAAAAAATCATAACGACACATCCAAACCAATAAACCATTGGCCAAATCGAATATATAACAATCTTATAAATTGCAAGATTAATTAAACACGAGACTACATGATAATTAAAACATAAAATTACAAAATAAATAATAATACAAAATTACAAGACAATAAATATTACAAAGCTCACTTCACATTAAATCTTGGTTGAGTATTTGAATAGTTTCTCATATTATTACTAGGTTGATGACATAGTCTATTGCTGATACGGGTGGTGGCTAAATGTTGTGAATCGTTTCAGACTAAGGAAACTTGGAGTGTTGTCCAATTCATTCTACTTTCCTTTAGGAATAAGGAAAGCTTATAAGGAAAGTTTAGGTGTTTACTTGTTAGAGTCCTAGTTGTATGCTAAAGTATTTTGTTTAGTTTATAAACGATAAATAAGATCATGTAAATATCATTTTATTGAACTTTTGAGTTATATTTTCTGCAATAAAGTTTCTGCGAGTTTAGACAATATACTTGGTTAAACATATCTTTTTTTTTTCAATTGGTATCAGAGAAAAGGGTAAAACAAGGATTAATTGGCGATGTCAGTAGGAGAAGCTCCACAGCCGCCAGCAAAGGGACTAACAAAATTTACGTTTCAATGTCTTACATTAACGTCAACAAACTATAAGATATAGAGGATGCGTATGGAGGTAATTCTTGATATTCACGATGTCTGGGAGGTGATCGATCCATATCTAGACGACATCGGGATGAACAACATTGTGAAGTTGATTTTGTTCCAGCCGATACAAAAAGAAGTAATCCTTCAAATCGACAATTTGAACAACAGGAAGAAGATGTGAGATGCAATTAAGAAACGTAATCTAGGGATTGATCGAGTTAAGGAGGCAAGACTCCAAACCATAATTATTGAATTTGGGAGCATGGAGATGATAGAGACAGATACGATAGACGATTATTCTACAAAATTATCAGGATTGCTTCAAAATCAGCCACACTAGGAGAGCTCATGGCATAAGAAAAACTCGTAAAAAGGTTACTCACGAGCCTCCCTAGGCGACTTGTTCACTTTGTGGCAGCCATCGAGGAGGTGTTAGATCTTAAAACAATTGGATTTGAGTACGTGGAATGATGATTAAAAACATATGAAGAGATGACCAAAGGTGAGGAAAAAGTAACCGAGACACAAGGAAAATTGCTTTATTCTAAAGTTGAGTCCTCGAACATAAACCGTGATTCTTCAAGAGGAAGTGATTCTGGTTCAAGCACACGAGGTTGTTGTCGTAGGGGGTGGTTGTTGTAAGATCCGAGATTAGTAAGGTACCAGTTATATCATTACTAGCTTAATGGGTGGATTTTGGTTTGGGCCTAGACCTTTTGGCCTTGTTATTGGGCTGAAGAAGCATCATACGCGGGGGTGTACCTTGCTATGTACGCCCAACGTACTCAAGAGGATGGAACGCGGATGCCATTAACGTACGCCCTATGTACCAAAGGGTACGCGCAACGTACGTACGCAGAAGCAAAAACCCTATATTTTAGGGTTTGATCCCTATATCACTACTAGAAAACAGACCTTTAATGACACGCTTTTTACAACACGCACTGATTAATGATACGCAAAAGGGCGTGCCCTAAAAATAATGTCAGATCTTTAGAAATTTAAAGCATTTTGGACGCGCATTTTTGCGTGCCCTAGAATTAGTGTCTCACAAAAAAAAAAAAAACCACGGAGGGCGCTTATGTTAAAGGCGTGTCGTCTAGAAATGTCGCTTTATAATTTTACAAATGCGCTCGCAACTAGCAGCGGGAAAAAGGAAATAAAAAAAATTAGAAAACCCGCCTTCCATCCTTGTTTCCCCTCTTTAGCTCTGGGTGTGTTCTTTGACCACAAAAATCTTCTCCGGTCTTCCTCCGCCTCCCTACATCGAGTGTTGCTTGCTTCTTTCCCTTGCACTCCGACCGCCGCCACCGATTCTTCCCCGTTCGTTGACATCGATCAAGGCTCATTTACTTGTACCCACTGGAACCACCATATCTCCCACTCGATGTTGAAATTGTCAGAAAAAGCCCTAATTCAGTATTATACTCTCAAGTCTCAATATTAAGAATGAAAATCTTGATTCTCGTTTGTTTCTTATTCCCCACATATAAATCGAAAAAGGGGAATCAGAATGATGAAGGTAGCGGGAGTTTTGGTCGGGTGGTCGTGGTTCATCTAATGAGCAAGGAAGATGGGAACGCAAGCAGCCATGGTGGCTCGATGATGGAAATCAATCGAGAAAGTGGAAGCACCTCTGCTGTGGGATCGATTTGACGAAAGGAGAAGGGAGAAGCAGCGACGCTTCTCTTGTCTTCCGCAGCGAGGGGGGGACGCTCCGGCGGTCTCCTTGGTTGTTCTTCCTTGTCGCCAGCAGATTACACGTAGGGAGGGGACTCAACTAGTCCGATGGAGCAGGGCAAGTAGCGACTGGTAGATCGGGACGATCGATCTATTCGTGAGGAGGAGGAGGAAATTATTGGTTCCCGGTGAGCCTTCCTTGGTTTCTTAGACTCCGTCATCGGTAGAAATCGGGGTAAATGAGTCGGGTTCTTGTCTGATTTCGATGAAATAAACGGAGGGAGGAAAGGTTTGGGTGGAGGCCTGATCGATGAAAACAGTGGGAGCCTCTCTTGGTCTCGCCGGATGCTACTCCATCTCCAGTGGTCGTTGAGAACGAATGGGAGGACCTCTGGGGTTTGGATGGATCGAAGGAAGAAGAAGAATGAAGCTGTGGTGGTCTTCGGTGATTGAAGGTAAACGGATGGGGTTTTCTTGAACCTCACAGGTCGTATTCTTCTTCTTTTTTTTTTGTTTGTGTTGACCAGTATCAATGAATACTGGGATGTTTGGGTGTTTGAGTTTACTGGGAAAAATAAAACATCGAAAATTAAAAGGATTCTGTTTTGTTTGCTTCATTTGACAGGGAAGAAGGAGTACAATTGGGGTTGTGAAATTGATGGGAAAGAAGAAAAGAAACAGAAGGCGTTGTTTCCCTTGATGGTTAGCTGAAATACTTATGATCAACACCTCCAGCCTTTTCTGTTTTGATTAACGAGGTAGTCAGTAGCCAGTAAATTCCTTTTCATGGGTTTCTTTATGTCTTGAAAGCTTTACCAGGTACAAATAGCACTTTCTGTTTTGCTTCCATCCCCTGTCTTTCATTGTTTTCTCTTTAATGCTATTTATAATTGGTTAGATATCAGAAAGTATAATGTCCTGATAGTTCCTGCTTGTTTTGATGATACAAAGGCTAGGCTACTAATATTCAATTGTCTGTCATTCATCTACACATTTTTGACATCCCGAACAACTAAACAATCTGATCCTGGAAAATAGCCCTTGAAAGCTACAATTTTTTGTCAGATCCAAAAAGGTGGGACATGGACTCGGTTTTGATCTCTCATATGTGGAAAAAGACGTTAATGCCCTTAAGCTTACCAGCAAACAAGGGCCAGAAAGATCAGTTCTTTTCCGAATAAGTGTGTGAAGTGATATGCCATGTCTTGCAGTACTGCCAATTAATTGGAAACAAAAAGTAAATATAAATTTAAGAAAGGATTAAAAAATGGAAAATTTTGTACAAATTAAGAGGATATTATTACCTATACAACAAGACCCATCTGCAGCCTTTGACTAAATTAGGAAGGGAAGACTGAAAGAATTGGTATAAATCTTGATTAATGAAATCTGATTGGATTGGACCAACTTGGACCAATTTTCGCAAACTGGGTTTCGTTATGCCTAGTTTCATATTGGATTTGGATCCAATTTTCTTATACATCTCTATTTGATGCTTATGGATACCTTTGATCCTGTTTTTGACTATTTCAACAGTTGTCTGCTATTGCTTGCAAGGTATGCCTTTTTCACATGTGAAACAAATTGAAAGAGACACTAACTGTTATGCTCCCTTTTATCCGATTGGCAATGGCAATGGCAGCTTGTGCTACTACTTCTATCCTTAATTGTTGTCCCATGGATGCTGCTGCCCAAGCCTTTCATTTTAAAGGCACATCATAACAGGGTATGTCATGTTCTTTTTATTTTTTTTAACCATGTTTATATTTTTTGATAAATAGTTAAAGACCATATTATATACTTTATTTAATGTTCCAGACACACCAAGGTTATCATGGCTCCCATGATCATGAAGAAGAGTTTGAGTTCAGCGAAGTGTTTGTTCATCAACTTATTCATAAAATTGAGATTGTACTTGGGGTAGTGTCAAATACTTGAGAAAATGATAGGGTTATATTCGTCTTTTTTTTTTTTTGTTTCAGGTTAAGGTTCGAGAAGCTGGGACAGATTGGGGGTGGGGGTGGTTGTAAATGTGGTGAAAAAGTCGGCCCCACCACTAGGGTCTAGTAATGTACTATTTATTATATCAATAATTATTATCCAAATTTAAACTTAACAAATTCTTGATGCTTATTTATTTCAGTCTGCTTTACTTGCCCTAGCTGCTCATGCTACTGATCCTGATGAAGCTGAGAGATTGAAATTCCTTGCATCTCCTGCTGGAAAGGTTTGGGATTCTTTTTCTTAATATGAAAAGTGATGTTATTTATTTATTTATTTATTTATTTGTTGGATAAATATTGTTCAGGATGAATATGCTCAGTGGATAGTGTCAAGCCAAAGAAGCCTTCTTGAAGTCATGGAGGCTTTCCCTTCAGCTAAACCTCCACTTGGTGTTTTCTTTGCATCTGTTGCCCCTCGCTTACAACCCAGATACTACTCAATTTCTTCCTCCCCTAAGTAAGTTTATTTCCATAATCTTGATTTTATTTATTAAAATAATAATTCAAGAATGTAATAATATTTATATGTTATTAATCTTACAGAATGGCACCAGAAAGGATTCATGTTACTTGTGCATTAGTGTATGAGAAAACACCATCAGGACGTGTCCACAAAGGAGTTTCTTTTTATTTTCTTCCGATAAATAGCAACCAAAAGGGTAAACATGAGATTTGAAGTTTATGGTTTTATTTTTCAGAATGCAGTGCCAATGACAGAAAGTGAAGATTGTAGTTGGGCACCTATTTTTGTTAGAACATCAAATTTCAGACTTCCATCTGATCCTAAAATTCCAATTATTATGATTGGTCCAGGAACCGCATTGGCTCCTTTTAGGGGTTTCCTTCAAGAAAGATTAGCCCTAAAGAAATCCGGATCCCAACTTGGATCATCCGTTTTATTTTTCGGATGCAGAAATCGCAAAGTAGTATGTATATGTTCAAAAACTTTTTTTTTAAAGATTTAAAAAAATGTCTTAAGTTTTTATATACTTTGTCACATACTGATATAGCTCCCGAAATGTTAATCTTCCAACTTGCAGCTCTTGATCCTTTAAAGCTTTTTGATGAGCTGCTTGGTATTTGGATTCTAGAATCTGTTTGGACTTTGGAATTGATAAAAATGAACATGCATATATTATCAGCAAGATCATTGTCATTCATGGCTTTGATAGCTCCAAAGACATGCAACTCCCAATTTCTCAGGTATCATGAACACTATATTCATTATCTTTAACATATTGGTCTTTTTTTTCTGATATATCTTGTCATAATGACAGGAACTTATTGAAGAGCTGCAAATTTACTTTCTGTCATTTGGCAGAGTAGGATATGGAGAGAGTGATCCACATCCAAAGCGTTCAGTTCAATATCATCTACACTTGTATGAATTCAATATCATCACTTTGTTAAAAAGACCAAAATACCCCTATATTGCCTTCTGAAACATGTGTATTGTTTTGAAGGATATCTGCTTGAAGAGACTGAAAGACAATAGTAGGAGGTGGATCCTTTTCAGCTGGTGGTCCTGGAAAAGGGATGTACTCTCATCTCTGTGAGTTGCTTCTTCATATTATTTTTATTAAATTTAAAATTAGTTATCATAATTCACATACTAATTTTAATTTTTAATTTATTTTTTTGGATTTTTATCGTGAGCAGATCTTATAGTTTTGAATGAGTACCCTGAGATTCAATCGTTTTCAGCATTCAACTCTATCTATAATCACACAGCCTTATTTGGAATCCATCAATAAACTTTCAGTTATTTTATTTAAGTGATTATTTAATCCTTTTTATAAAAAATCCATGCAGAGTTCTGATTTTGTATCCAAAGTTGTTGATATAGCCGTGAAAGAACTCATTGCAGTTGCCACCAACAGAGAAGGTAAGCTATAATATGCCAAAGTTGAATTACTTTTTAAGAAATAGTAACCTACTTTTAGTGATTTGTTTATTATATCAAACTTTCATCTCTTCCTACTACTACAACATTGAAAACAAAAACAAAATCACATTTTCATTGTTTTAATTGGAAATATTTTAGCTCCCAAGATTTTAGAAGGTTATCAATTTGTTTTCTACAATTATAACATTTTTTTTAATAATTTTCAAATCTTGAAATGATTCGTTTAACCCTTAAAACACAAAAGCATATGATATGAAATTACCTTCTGTTCAAGCTTAACCTTCTTTCCTTCCCCAAGAATCTCCTGTAAAGTGTGAAACTTTACACATACAACATCAGAACACTTCATGTTGAAGTTGCAAGAAACAAAGAAATCGAAGCATCACTTGTGGTTTAATTCAGATTCTGGGACAAAAAGAGTCCTAGGGGTATTTTGAAATATTTAGTTTTTCTAACTTTTATGCGGAGTCCTAGGGGCTACAAAAGGTGCTGGAGTTAGTGATGAAAGACAAGGTTCATATTCAAAAAGTGTTGTAGAGCTAACAAATGGTTCTTCAGGTATGCAATACTCTAGGCATAATTATAATATAAACTATAAAAATTTCATTTTTTGATATATATTTTTTGTTTTGTTTTGCAGAGGATGCTAAAGAGCAAATCTTGCAAAGGATATTTTTTGTTTTGTTTTGCAGAGGATACCCCTCACATTTTCCCAAATTACCCCTTCCTCTACAATGTTTTTTTGTTGCTGTGTATTTTGTGCATCAGGTAAAGTTGATGGAAGAAAAGAATATGAAGCCACTTGATTCAAATCTTGCAGCATTATCAGCAAGATGCAGTAAAAGACTTGGAGTTGAATTTGGCTAAGTCATTCTTAAGTGAGATGGCCAATGTACAACTGCTTATCCATATAATCAGCTGCTTGGAGCATTAGTCTTAAAGAATTATGAAAGGCAAGATGCAACTTTACTTAGTTGGAATTTGATGTACAGAGTAGATTAGATGCAAATTTAGATATTGTAAGAAATAGAATTGTATAACATTAAATTTTATCCAATGGATTGTATTTTTTGTATATGATATTCTATTTCTATTATGAGACATTAAATGCAAATTTAATTTAAAAATTAATAAATATATAAATATATACTTTTTAGAATATTTAAAATTATGATACACAAAAATGTGTGTCATCTTCATTTATGACATGGCCTTTCTTGACAAGGGTTTCCTTGATACGCATTGCGTATCATAAACACGCGCGTCGTAAGGTTACAACATGCAAATGCGTGTCGTCTTTCTTTATGACAGGGCCTTCCTTGATACGCATTGCGTGTCATAACCGTGCGTCGTAAATGCGCGTCATAAATGTGCGTTGTAAATGCACGTCGTCTATAGATGACGCGCAAAAGCGCGTTGTCTGTCTTTATGATAGGGCCTTTCTTGACGCGCATCTGCACGTCGTCTGAGCGTTTTACGACGCATAATGAGCGTCGTAAAAGGCTATTTTTCTAGTAGTGTATAAAGGATCTTACGCCCTTGGTTCAGCCTCCTTCTCACCCTTAGACAGCCACCTCGAAAACCCTAACCCATACTTGTTTGTTCTTGCCATTTGATAGCCTTTTCAGAGCTTTTAGTGGGATCTTTGGTGTTTTAGAAGAAAAGGAGGTTGAAGAAGGTGCAAGGATTTAAAAGGAGCTTGTAGATCCAGAAGAGTAGCACCATTTCTGACCCATTTGTGGTGTCAAGCTTCAAACTTGATTATTTCATGCTTAGATTCAACCAAAGGATGTTTTATGTCACCTTTTGGACTCCATTGTTGAGGAGGCCTGAAAACGGATAGCTTCAGACCATAAGAGTTGTCCTCTGAGCTCTTAGTAGCTCCTAAAGTCATAAAAATCGGACCTTGATGGTTAAGCTACAACCATGCAAGTGTTTGATGGTCAAAAAATGAGTATAAGGACCAAAATCATGTTTTGACCCCAACCATGCATGCAAACACATAAAGTTGGTGACTTTATGTTAAGAGTTTCTAAAGGATAACTAGCATATGGAAGAATACTTACGTTTTGAAGCTTGAAGGGGGTGTTAACGGCCCGAAGAACTAGTAGGTGTTCTTGGTGTTCTTGGTGTAAGTGATGGAGATTTGAAGATCTATCCAAAAGAGATAATTTCATAGATGAAATCATAGAGTTTTACTAGATTAAGAAGGATATCAACTTAAAAAATGGAAGGATCACTTACACTTTTGAAGATCAAGATGAATAATCTTGATGATATTTGAGAGAGAATTGACTTTCTTGACTTGGATGTGAGAGAAGTGAGGAAAAATGAAGGAATGTCCCCAATATTGAAGGATTTTACGGACAAACAAGATATTACGGCCATAATATCTAGTTTACGGCCGTAAACTCCAAGACTTGGAGTTTTCCAGCCTGAATGCTGCACACTGAACTCTAGAAGATACTTCCTAACACCCAATCCTTGAATGTACTAGGCTTAGAACACTAAAAAAGACCCTTAACAAGGCTAAAAGATAGCAAAAACATGTCTGACATTAGATTGAACTAACTGACTTTACAAGAAAGAAATTTCGGGTTGTCACATCATCCCCCGTTAGAGGGATTTTCGTCCCGAAATTAGAGTTTAAGCAATTAGAAATAACTAAGTAAAAAGATGAGGATATTTCAGTTTCATTTGATCCTCACGTTCCCAAGTGAATTCAGGCCCCCGCTTGGCATTCCAGCGAACCTTCACTATCGGGATACGACTTTGCTTCGTTTTCTTGACCCCTTGGTCCATGATCTCTACTGGCTCTTCCACGAAGTTGAGGCTATCGTTGATCTCGATCTCGTCGAGTGGGATTATAAGAGTCTCATCGGACAGACACTTTTTCAAGTTCGAAACGTGGAAAGTAGGGTGTACGTTAATAAGTTCGTGAGGTAGTTTGAGTTTGTAAGCTACAGGGCCAATTCTAGAGACAATCTCAAAAGGCCCTACGTATCTTAGATTTAACATTTCCATGCTTTCCGAAGCGTATCAAGCCTTTCTAGGGTGAGACCTTCAAAAGAACACGGTCACCAACCTGGAATTCCAAAGGTTTCCATCTCTTGTCTTCGTAGCTTTTCTGTCAGTCTCTAGAGGCTTTCAATCGTTCACGAATTTGAACGATCTTCTCTGTCGTTTCCCGAATGATCTCCGGACCTGTGAGAGTGCTGTCAGGAACTCGTCCTTTAGCTAACGGTGTGTCACCCACCTCAGCCCAGCACAGAGGGGATCTGCACTTTCGGCCATATAGGGCTTCAAATGGAGCGGCCTTTATGCTCATGTGATAATTGTTATTGTTGGAGAACTCGACAAGGGGTAAATGAGTATCCCATGCCATCCCAAAGTCTATCACACAGGCTCGCAACATGTCTTCTAAAGTTTGAATAGTCCTCTCACTTTTTTCGTCGGTTTGCGGATGGTAGGCTGTACTCATGTGCAGCCTAGTTCTTAAGGAACTTTGTAGCGACTGTCAGAACCTTGAAGTGAACCTACTATCTCTATCAGAGATAATAGATATGGGAACACCATGCAGTCGTATGATCACCTTAATGTGGGTTCTTGTTAGTTTCTCCATCTTGTCAGTTTCTTTGATAGGCAAGAAGTGTGCGGACTTTGTTAACCTATCTATGATAACCCAAATGGTACCGAGACCACCCGTTGTCTTGGAGAAATTGGTTCTGAAGTCCATCGTGATCCACACCCACTTCCATTTCGGTATCTCCGGTTGTTGTAGTAAACCTGAGGGTTTCTGGTATTCGACCTTAACCTTGGCGCAAGTAAGGCACTTACTCATGAAGGTTGCAATATCTGCTTTCATGTTAAGCCACAAGTATATCTTGTTGAGGTCAAGATACATCTTATCTGAACCTGGGTGGACGGAATATTGAGTGTTGTGCGCTTTAGTCATGACCAAGTCTCTGAAGCCAGCGTGCTTCAGTGTCCAGATCCGGTCCATGAGATATAAGGCTCCACCACCCTTGACCTCCAAGTTCTTATCTATCCCTCTCAAGGATTCACCCGCCACATTTTCAGGTTTCAAGGCTTCTAGTTGAGCCTCCTTAATTTGTGTGGACAGATGTGAATGGATAGTCATAGTCAATGATTTGACTCTACGAACATAGTATTCTGTAACGCCCGTAGATCCGGGCTAGTCAATTTAGAGATAATAGGGGTCGAAAACGACTTTTTAACAAAATATTATTTAAAATAAATAATCTTAACCAAGTTGTAGAATACGTCTCAAGGGTTCCGTACATATAAAGAACGTTGAAATCCGAGTTATAACAAAGAAGTTATGGTCCGTCGAAGTTTTACGGCAAAACTGGCATGACACCGGTAGACGTAAATAGTGAATTTACGATGGATAACTTTTTAGCCTTAGAAATCTAAACAAAAGTTGTAGTATACATTAAAATGAGAACATACAAAAAAAGAACGTCCAAATCTGACTTTGTATGAGAAAATTATGAATTTTCTAAGATTTGGCTTAGTAGTGCATAGCCCGAAACTCGAATTTTAGATCGAGCGGTTTTTGACCTACGCGACCTAAATGAGAATTGAAGATCTCATTAATAGGAACTCAACGGTAAAAAGACAGACGAAAACAAAGTCCGTACGTAGAAGTTATGAATTTTACGCGGACATTTAACAGTATAATATTTTCGTACTATTCAATTTAAGCTCGGTCGAGAATTAGCCGACGCAGTCAAAATGAAAGTTGTAGATATTATTTTTACCTACGCGTGGATATAAAGAACGTCAAAAACGGAGCTCGTATGTGAAAGTTACGGATTTTAGAAGTTGGAAGTGTGCTGTGCGAAAATGGGTGACGTGGCAAAATCTTGGCCATTGTTTTCTCCGCAAGTCTTGCCACCAGATGGTTACATGTGGCACCAAGTTCAGCCATATTTCACCCTATAAATAGAACCTCTCCCACCCTCATTTTCTTCACACATTTCCCATTCTTTCTTCTCTTTACTCTCTATCTAGAACCTCTCTCTAGCCCGGAAACCCCCCAAAAGCCTAGGCAACCTCCCTAGCACGAGGCGGAAGCCCCGGAGTGCTCGACGGCTCCGCGAAGAAGAGCTTTTCGGCTCGGGAACGCTGCTCCAAGCAAAGCCCGGTTTTCTATAAAGCCCGCTGTAAGTGAGCTACGCCTACGCTATTTTTAATATAGCTTTTATTTAATTATAGTAACGTTATTAGGAACTTATAATAAGTACTTGGGCTATTATTATGGGTTATATAAGTATTGTTTAACGCTTATATAATAGTAATAATAGCTAGACTATTAATTAGTCTCGGCGAATAATTAGACTAAACTCTGGTTGTAATAATACTAGGTTTCATCGAAGGAAATTATTTTTAAGAAGCGAAGCGCTGTCTGAGTTCGAAATCGCCACCTTTTCAAGTGAGTGCATGGTCCCTTTCATCTTACACATAGATATGAAGTATTTTATATAAACTACGTGCTATGTGTGCATATTATCTGTATAGTTTCTACCTATGCTGGATGAACGATTTTATACATGTTTTATATGATTTAAACTCTATATGTATTTATATCTACATAATATGTTGGGTAAAACATGGGTAGATGAAATATGAGTTGGATGATGAGTTGAGAGGTGATATAGACCATGAGGTAAGGGTGAGACGTGGACGATGTGAGAAGCCTTGTTCCTAAATGTTGGTCCCGTCATCTAGCAGAGTATGGATGACAACCACAGACTATTCTAGACAGTCCAGTGGAACACTAGCAGACTCGCAACCTGTAGGTGTTGTGATCGATGTGTTCACTGGTGTACTCTAAAAACCCATTGACATGTATTGCGAGTGGACTCTCGAAAATGATATTCTCAATAAACGAGATAACCCTAGAAG